TTACCCAACAAAGTTGCAGGTCAGCATCTTACTGTACAGCAGAAACTCTCAAATCTGGATATTTAATTTGTAGCTTTTACTGAGTGCGACCTGTTTGCATGCACACATGCAGACACACACACACACACACACACACACACACACACACACAGACACACACACATATTTAATACTGAATAGAGCCATAAATTAGATGGACTGCATGAATATGCTGCCTGCACCTTTCTGCGGTCTGCACACCCTGGACTGGGCTGGTGCGAACTGTACACTCAGCAATCTGTAAGTGATTTCCGATGCTTTTAAATTCCATCACCAACCCCCACTGCTGGTAAAAAAAAAGAAAAGAAAAGAAAGAAAAGAAAAATCCTTCGCAAGGGAATAGTGAGATAAAGAGACTGCGAGCCGAGGAAACTTGACATGAGACAATAATGACTGACAGTTGTCTTCAGCAAAGAGGAAAAAGGTTCGGAAAAAGGAAGATGCAGTGCCAGGGTTACAGCGGTTAAGTACATTTATTTAATCAATTACACAATGTGGTTAATTAAACATTAAGGGGTGACATTCAGACAGCCTACAGATGAGGATGAGAAAAAGAGCACTGCTTGGGATCCTGCAGGTAGAGGCTGAATATTGAAACACTGCTGGAAGGCATGCAGATTTGTTCTGGTGAATCTCTAATCCAGCAGCTACATGCCCCTGTCCAGCACCCGCTCACTGAAAACTGTGCCAGTATCTTTACTCAGGACACCCTGGACTTTAAAACTGTTCAAATAATGGAGGTCTTTTTTTTATTTTAACACTTAGCCCTACAGCCACCCTCTGGCCCTGAACAGTGTTTCTCTATAGACCTCTTAGAGAGTCCAAGTCCAACAAGCAAAAAGTGTTTTTCAGTTTGTTTAATGCTGCATGTAGAACTCTGACATTGTTAACAGTCTGATCCCGCTTTTCATGGCCAATACAGGTAATGTAATTTGATTTTTTTGTAATTTGAAGGTAGTGTCTTATATCAGCCTATATCTTAGCCATGGGTATTCAATCAACCTTAAATTATACAAGCAGGTTCAAGTAAAAAAAAAAAAAACATGCAAGTAATGATGAGTTCTTTAATGATTTAAAATTATATCCTTTCATATTCTTGTGCTGTTACCTTACTTGCTTGCACAATGCTACTGTAGTAAAACGACAACATTGAGGTAAAAACCTCAACCAGTAATAGTTTGTAGGTTATTTTTTCTGGTAGTGAGTTTAATTTGAAACAGAATGCAACCGACTCCATTTATTCATTGTTTTTATATGTTTCTTTTCTTCTATTTGCCTGTGTGGGACTGGATGAACCTTACTTTTCCATACAAAAAGAGTCAACAAAAACAGGCAACACAAGTTGCAGTGAAATATAGATCTTTTGCTACAAACAAAAATGTTCATGTTAGTTCCTGAAATTTAAAACCACTTCTGAATTTCTGAATCTTGTCTCTTCTTGAAACTTGTCTTTGCCCTCAGTCACTGGCAGATGAATGAGACGCCAATATTCCCAATGCCCTGTTTTCACAGTCACAACTCTGAAACTTTATATCAAAATACTGAAAACAAATGTGATAAACAATGGATGAGCTGTTGCCTTCAGGCCTTGGTGAGGGCGCAGATGATAACAAGGGCACGTGGAGGTTGCTTGAGCCTTGAGTGACAAGTCTCTATTTCCAACAGGAAGGAATCCCAAGCATCTTTTATTAATTCAGACGACAACTGTTGACTGACTGATTGACTGACTGACTGACTGACTGACTGACTCACTGACTAACTGACTAACTGGGGCAGCTGAGTCTTGTGAGTGCAGGTGCTACAAACACATCAAAACTTGATCATATCACTTCTGAGCAGGAAAATCACAGATGTATTCAACAAAGAGCATCAACACAGCGCGGAAAAGGACTTATCAGTACAGGTACGCTTTGTTCTCAGTCTTACGTACGGCTGCTCCATCACCTTCCCTCTCACTTTCTCTACTTCAACATAGACAGTTTCTTGTAAATGAATGCTTTATTGTACTGTGAAAAGATGACACTTGTCTTTTGAGCTATTATTTTAAAGATATCTTCACCCACGACTCTTCTACCTGCTATAAGTTAAAGAGCCAAATAATTGATTAGCTTCTGTTCATCAAAGGTTAAGAGGCTGGCTGATTACTTCAGCCTCTGTAATCATAATCCTACATTGTCTCTCTCAATTGCCTCTCCAAGCCACAACAGGTTATTCATTTTCATTCTTAACTCACAACCGGCAACCGGCAAATGGCAACCAGTTTTAAGTCCAATAAGAACATTACCTCAATATCAATAAGAGCAAAAATTAAGCAGATGCAGCATAGTCCCTGACTTCATCCAAGTACATGCCTCCATACTTCAACACATCAAATGTAAGAATAAGAAAAAGAGAAAAAGAAGAATCTCAGTACTTATCTGCTCATTTCAAAATCTGATTTTTAAAATATTTATAGTGAAGTAAATGGTTTGTTCATCTAATCTGTAACAAGAACACAACTAACGATCAGTGCTCCTTACTTTGAAGCCCCATCGACTAAAAAGAAAACACTGCAGTCAAAAGGAAGTTGACAGGGTACTTTTAAGGTACTGGATGTACCCAAGAGACAAGGGAAAGAAAAAAATAATCAAGACAACGGCTGGTAAGATGAAAACTCAGCATCCCAAAGGGACCTAGTTGTGTTCCAAATCCGCTCTATCTATCCCCAGACGCTGGAGAACAAGATGACAGTACCTGTACCCTGTCGTCGGTGACATGAAGAAACATCTTTTTGACCTGTCTGTCGCTCACCTTCCCAAGTGTCGTATTTCATAATAGAGTTCAGACAAAAGTTACAACCCTCCATCACGGCACATACGCATACTGCCAGTCATCAAACAGCCACTCTAATGATCAGAATTAACTTTAAATGCCAAAACCATTAAAAATGTTTCCAGTAATTTTTCTTTAATGAATTCAAAGGTGTTAATGAACTAGAGGGATGAGTAAAATTTACCAAATATAATGTGCCAAGGAAAATGTAACAGGTTTCCTATAAAACAGTAGTAAATTACAAAAATCATGAGAAAAAAAAGGGATAGGAGGAGAAAAAAAGATGTCAACCCTGCTAGTATGTCTCTGGACAGTAATTAGCTGACTAATGCAGCAGTGTGCCACCTGCCAGTGCCATGTGAATAATCACTCCGACTGTCGGCAGATTCTGAACCATACATCCGCTGTTTGTGCAGTGGAGTGGAGCAAACTGAGAGCTTTACACACTGCGTGCATGCAGGGAGCACCGCAGCGCAGAGAGCTCAGAACACCCTGCTTCACATTCAGCTAGTGTGCTGCTGGCCTCCCTCAGTGTCTATCAATCCCCACCTCTTTCCTCCGTCCTTCTGTTCCCGCTTGCAGCCCAGCACCACTAACCCAGAGTCAAACAGAGACTCCCCCGCTGGCACACACCGAAGTTCTTATTTCAGGACAGTTTCCTGCCCCCTCCACTTTCTCTTCCTCTCTCTCCCTCCAAAGCCCTGCACAGCCATCCGTTGCCTCTGATCTCAGCCAAAGTGTTTATAATTGATTCTTTAAGGGATAAGTTCTCTCCCTCTTTTTCTTTCTTTCTCTCCCCTTTTCCCCCGTTGCGCATCTCCCCCACCCAATTCATTATTAAAAATCATTTTTGTAAGGGTAGGAGCAGTGACAGGGTCACATGGAATAAATGGATTTTCAGATCTCTTCATGCTCTGAATTTTCCTTGATGTGTTTCCCTCCTCTTTTCACCTTCTGTCCACACTGCACCTCAAACATCAGAAAACTGTCTTGTCAAAAAATGTCTCTATTCACTCTACAATTAAAAATACAACAAAGAGGTCATGTGAAAGGTGAATTTCTGCGAATGCGTGCAGGGGGGTCAGGGTACATATGTGGGCTTCTCAAAAGCACTGTGACAGAAAGTCTAAGCCTAGTATCACTCCCTCCTTCCTTGCTAGAAAAGCCAACGAAAACTTGACTGTGAGGCTGGCTGCTGTCGAACCGCCCAGGGTGGTGTTTGGTGGTGTTTGCTCTTGTGCTATTGGTTCGTACTTGGGTTGTGCCGATGAACGATGATTTCAGTGATAGACGAGCATCACAACAATCACCAATAGCTTACGCCTTTTCAAATGTCAACGATATTTGGCGTGTTTGCCCTTTAATGTAGTAACTTATAATTAAATGAATATTCCAGTTTCTTTTTTTTCTTTTAGTTCAGTTTCTCAGTCAGTAAAAGAGATGCATTATTTGTGATGACAATTTTGTTTTAACATACCAATAAAATGTATTTGTCATCTTACTGTCATCAGTCAGGTTATCCTTGAAAGAAAGAGCGAGCGAGGCGAGCGAAATGAGACACGGCCGCTTGTTTGGTCACTTCTCTTTCTCTCTCGCTCATAGGGTAAGATAACGTAGCAAGGGCTCCGGATTAAACTTTTCCACTGGTAGCACTGGTGCCACCAACACGAGCACATGATTTGCTCGCACTGCAAACAGAGGTTCCTCTTTCACTGTGTCACAGGCAGTTTTGAATTTCATGATTTCATTCTCCTCCTCGATTACTCTCATCAAATGACTGAAAAGAGGTGGGGTGTTAAAGTTATAATATGTGACTTTTCCAGATTAAAATGTCTAAAAATGACTACATCCATGTTTTCATGTGTACAGAAAACAGAGCAGTTATATTCAAAAAAAAAAAAAAGGGGGGTGGGCGGTAGACTGGGGGAGAGAGAAAAGAGAGGGACCAGGTACAGCTTCTTACCCTAACTAGGGAGAGGAGGAGGCCTACCATGAAAGCCATGACCTGGAGCACGTCTTTTCACAATCGGCAGGAGGGATCCCACTGTGCCAGACGAGTCAGGAGCTCTTTCAGGTGAGTCTGCAAAGACTGCACGACGGCTGCCTCAACGACTGGGTCCTGGAGTACAATCACTCACTCCAGCAGGCGCCTACTGTGGAAACTTTTTCTCCAGGTCTTTCATCACAGCCTTGCAGACTTTCTTGATGTGCTTGTTTGGAGAAACGCCTTGTGTACCGGTGAGACCCGCCACAGTCTGGTTTACCAGCCGTTTGGTGTGGGTCACCCACTCCTCCTGGCTCCAGCTCTGGACAGCATGACATTTTGTCAAGACTTTGACTGTCAGCAGGGTTCTGGGACGTTTTTCTCCATTGGAACCTCAGATACGGTAGCTGTCTCAGGGTGGTCAATCACTGTGTACTGCTTCTCTCTCCTCTCACAGATGTGTACTGTAGGCTACTGGTTTCTGTCTCCAGTGTAGTCCGAGCGAGACTTAACTCTGAATCCAAACTATGTGTCATAACGTGTCATAGTTCAGATTCTGGAATGTCAAGACACTTTGGAATGTCACGACACACACACAAACACACACACACACACACACACACACACATACACGTTGGTGTTGCTATTGTTGTGTGGACACTCTTATGTGCACATAATGCATCCCCTAGCCCCTTACCCTTGGTCAATGGGGGCTGTTCATGTGTGTTTTTGTAGGTTTACACAATTGAAAAAGCTACTTTCATCAAAATACTGTACAACTTCATTTCACAACAAAACTAAAAGACAAGACTGTGTCAGGGGCAGCCATGTGGCCTCATTACACTCAAAGAAGGGAATTTTTTTTCATTAAGGATGCATCCATTACTCAGCAACAACCTAATTGATCCATGTCTGTGAGTTGTAAAGTAATAGCAAATTGACTGATTTATCCTCAAGAGGGAAAGTGGTGGGAATTGTGCAACCAAAAAGAACGGCAGAATCATCGGCTTTGAGCTGATGGATGAGACTGGAATAGCAATGAATAAAAGAAAGGGCGGGGGGGACAAAGATGAGGTGTGTCAAAAACAGTTGATGACGAATGGGAGATTAAAGCTTGTTTGAATTTCTGAAATCACAAATGGCAGGTACCTCAAAAGACTCTCAGCCTCAGCAGTCATCATATTTTATAGCCACTATAATTATATTAGGTCATCATTTTTTAAGCTAAGATATCAGGAGCAAAGCTGCCCCAGCTCAGAACCTACACCAGTATCCTTCCAACAAGGCTCAGCAATGAAATACAGCCTGTATAAACACATTGTAGGGAATTTCAGACTAAACAGAAAAAAAAAAACAGCCATGGTACTCATCTAGGGAACTCTTTAAATGTACAGGGAGGAGGAATGATATTGTTCCTCAATAATTTACAAATGTGAAGAGAGAGTTATGTTTTAGAAAGACTTCAAAACCTACATTGATTCAAAGGCTGTTTGTGAAATCTGATCCATGAGCAGGTGTCTCTGAACGGCTTTCTCTATTGATCACATCTCATAAACGGCACTTGTCTGTACCATGAAGAATGGACTCTGAGGGTCAATGGACAGCTGAGAAGGAGCCAATAGCTCAATAGAATGATCAGAGTAATTACATAAGAGTCTGGGTTACACAAAGGTGTAAGGTAGCGATGGTGGTGGTGGGCTTGTCACAGACTTGACAGGGAGACTAAATGGGAACTACTGAAAGGCAAATACAAAATGCAGTCTAACATGTCAACGATGTAACCTGAAATCCATTACTAGTAATTAAAATAATCTATATCACCTCACTCAAGCTGTCTGTTAATTTTAATTTTTTGTCTGTTAATGCATGACAGGCTAACAGCAATTAATGTCACTACCAATTGATGTTGTTAGAGTTGAATACTCAAAGTGTTTTCACTGAGCTTTTGTGTGTTTTGTTGTATCCAGCTATTCTATAGGGATGTAGCTATAAACAGATACCGTAAGTGCAAGACACTTTTTAAGTCTTGCAATAATGTTGTTCAAAGTCACTTTATTTTATTATCAGTTCATGTTTTTCTCAATCTAATCATGCTTGAAAGTATTAAAATGTCAAGTAAAATTACTCAAATTTCAACTAAATTGGTAAAAATTGCACTTTGACACTAAAGAAAATGAATCATCTAAGGATGTCTTCATGTCTTTCAAGGTTGCTACTTTCCTCACTTGAATGGTGATTCTACATCATTGTGAATACAGCAGGAGAAATAATGCTGGCAATTAAGAAAACAGAACATCATAGGAGTTAGGTGGAAGTGGAGTGCACGGCCTATACAGGGAGAGTGCACGAACATCACGTGAAATGGCCATTGTCAGGGACATGGAGAAAACTAGCATAATCGTGATCATTCTAGAAATTCAATCAAGAGAGCCTGAGATTTTGTCTAAACACGACTATGACCTACACAATCTAATCATTACTTCCTTCTGTGCATTTGGATAGAACCCGACATTTTGTTTTTAACAACGAAATAAGAGTGGAAAGCAGGAACCTGTTGAGCTGCCATACTTCATTGTGTCTGGGCAAACAACTGGGCAGCTGGAAAAGGGAGATACAGTGCAGCTGTGCTCTGAAAGGTTAAATGAGCACAAACCTGCGTGTCTCCTGATAGTACTTCTATTGCTGCTACTGCTGTGGCAGCTGCTGTTTTGTGTCTTTGTGTCTCTCTGCAGAACTTGACCACAATGTTCAGTTTCATTCCATGGACTTACCTGGACCTTAGTCTCTGTCTTTCTGTCCCACTTTCTCATTCTTTCTTGTTCTTATTTTTTCTCTCATGTGCCGTCTTCCTCTCTCTCACTTACGCTCTCTGCTAACCCCCCTGGGCTTCAGTTTTGAGTCTTGCAAAGTTTTAAGTCTGTCAGAGTCTTCCCTGGTGATTGAAGTCAGATGTGGGTGTCTTGAAGTTTTCAAAACAAAATAACTTAGACATTGTGACATCAATCAACCATCAACATATTATCTGCAGAGGATCCCTTAGGGATACAGTAAGTTAGCCTATGTACTTTACAATTTTCTTTATTATAAACATGTATGACTTCTCCATGTGTCGATGAAGGTGTCTCTTTAATCAAATACAAAGTTGTAAAAAATTCAAATTATGGTCTTTGTATTTCACTCACTTTTTAGTGTTTTCTTATTATCTCCTGCAGCTATGGTAACTGCAGGGCACCTATTAATATTAATTGAAGGTAATTTTCCTTTCCTGCTGTTCTTTAATATCAGCTGAGCTAAAAGACGTCAGCCCAGCTTTCCGCATTCCTAATTAACAAAAGTCTTTCCAAGGAGAAAGAGGAGGAAGGCACACAATGAGCAGAATTGAGATAGAGGGAGTAACTAATCTGTAACACTTCCAGCAGTAATGACTGAAAAGTGGTCATATGATACTGTATCCCACTGGTTATTGGGACCAGTTACCATTAATTGATTACAAGACTGCCCTCTGACACGGACATACTCTACCTCTGATTGGATAATGGTGGACCTGAATGTGAACCTGAAAACTGTTCAATCACTTCTGACAGAGTAGAAACTGTGTGTATGCAAGTCCATACATCCATCAGTAGATTAGATGTTACATTTCGGATTCTCTCCATCTCATCTGAGACAACCTGCATTAAGTGTTATCATTGCTGCTGTCTGACTGTTTTATTGTCCATCATTATGAGAGCACTGATAAGAAGAGGAGTTGCAACTGGAAAGCCTGCATGCCATATGCAGCTGAGACCATTTGTTTCTGGCTATCTTCCACAGCCAGGGAGCAGCTAGCGAGGCACGGTGCCGATGCCGGGGGTAAACAAGCAGAAGCTGCCGACAGTGTTAATCACAGTTTTACTGCTTCCATGCTCTGGGGTTTGGAGGCAGTGGCTGGTGGGAGTGTTCATCGTCCTTTTTTTTTTCATTTTTCTATCACACCAAAGATCCTTTCCACACCATTAGTGCTCTCTGCTGAGCTGTTCCATCCAGGTTCACTACTGTACTAATACAGTAGAGCCCTGTGCAGCACCATCTGCCATAAGCACAACTAACTACGGTAAATGTGGACACATCAGCACATTAGAGGAGCTGCGCCATGTGGGCTGTGTTGCAGCCCACTCCTGTGCTACATGGTTTTACTCGATATGGGGGGAAAAAATTGCTCAGAGCATGAGATATTGTACCTCAAAGGACCAGTGAAGGACAGAGCGAAAGAGTGAGACTGAGGCCAGATTTACTACCTTCCTTTCAGACACATTCTCTGCCTACAAATATGAATGTTATTTGTTAAACTTCTGGAGGTTCTGGACTTCTGTTCTGGAGGTTCGGCAGTTTGCTCATGTGAAGTATGTGAGGGTCAGATGTGTCAGCCTCTTAAGAGAAGCTCCAGCCATTTCAAAGACTTACTTTGCAGAGGAGCTGCACCAAGTTTATTCAAAAGCAAAAAGCACCACTTTCTCAGAAACAAGCATGTAGAATCTACTAATGAATGCAACAGAGAGGAGATATTCAGTGATCTATAGCAACTGGACTCATTATAAGACTTTTAAAATGTGAACTAATTTGCAATAAAGATGGGATTCTTTGGAGACATCAACCGTATCAATACAGCAGCATCGTCACTAGCTGCCTGCTCTGGCATGAGCAGCTGTTGGCTCTACACAAAGTAGCTCCCTCTCCCACAGCAGGCTGCCACCGGTTGCTATGCGTAACATGTTATTATGGGACAATTTTCTTTTGTGTGTCAGTTTGTGTTTCTTTATCTATTTTTTAGGGATTTGTTTTTATTTTAGGAATTAATTTTGTGACCCTTACTGCATCCATTTTGTGAGCAACAGTCATTTTTCTGAGTTGGAGTTCCATTTCAGGATTAATGAATTTAACATTTTAATTGACTGGTTGAAGCCTTCACCTAGAAGACATTTCCATGGCATTGTTTACACGCCTGCTTCACAAACATAAATGCAACAAGACCTGACCTTGCTAATGTAAAAATTACAGTAGCATACACTCACATTACAACAAAAGGAAATGTAGGAAAATCATTTTTGAATCAATGTGAAACAGGTCACTCTGACAAACATACTAAGAAAATTGCATTGTTTCCAGTGTTTCCCCTACCACTGCCTTGGGGCCCCACATGACCCCCCGCCCACCCAAGAGACCAAAAAAAAAAAGAAAAAAAAAAAGTTTCCTAATTTGTGTTAATTTCTTTCATTTATGTCTCTACTGTGTTTTGCTGTCATTTATTGGCATGTTCCTTTCCTCTCCTCTGCTCTCTGTTTCACTGTGTTTCTGAGCCCTCCCTGCACACACACACAGCACAGCTGAGTAGAGGAGAGACAGGTTGACAACTCGTTAAGTTAAGTGCAATAAAAGCATTCCAACAAGTGTTATAAATCCCCCTAAAACCAAAAATGGACAGATGTCAACCCCAAACATGGTTGAGAGTCAGCACACTTATCAGCTCCATTTCAAGCACCAGTAAGTAGCCGTTGTCAGCCAACAAGCTCTGATCAATATGCTGCAGTGTTTCCCCTAGAATTTTTTTAGGGCCTTGTGGGACGCACTCAAAAAAAAAGAGGCTCCCAAACACAAATTATTATTGATTTCTGAATTAATGTTTATTTGGCATTATTATTGGCATTTTTTTTTTCCTTGTACAACTATAGGGGAAACATGCTCCCTGACCAGCATCAAACCATTTAAGTCAGTGATTAGTTAGTGAAGAAAGTGAAACATCTGGCAAACCACAGTTATACTATCAGGAGAAACTCCACATGCTTCATGCAGCTTAGTGGTTGTTATTGCAGCTGTACCTGATAAATCTGTATATAGTGGAGCAGATATAAAGGTCACACAGGTTCCAGGTAATAACCAGATCTCTGTAACCGTTCGATAGATGAAAAAAACAAACACTATCACACAATCTCCCAGAGCGACACATTTTTTAAATTCTTACTCATAAAGCAAGCGTTATGGCGCTTACCCAGGGTTCAGCAAAAGACCAAGTTTCAATCTTTTATGAGAGGTTTGCTGAACCTTTCAGAGACTAAACTATCGCGCCAGGGCCAGCATGCCGGGCTCTGCAGTAGACTTGTACATGGTGTGTATTACTATGCTAAGATGTGCTGTGAGTCAGTCACAGTGTACACACATGGTCCTCAGACTCATCTTAAGGGGGAACAGAGGGATCTGGACTGATGGGGCCCCCAGATTGAATTGAGGATAAAAGTCTGTCTGTACAATTCCCTACCTTCTACATCCTGACGTGTCATTTCTCAATGGCAAACTTCAGACGACTGCTCGGCTGAGGTCCTATTATATAGATGTCATAATACACTATATCAGCACTGACCTCGTATTACAAACATGCTCAGCTGACCCTGGTCCTGGCAGGCCCCAGCTGGCCCTGCAAAGGACCTTTAACTTTTGACATGCCTGACTCACCACTTTGAAGTCTTCAGCGCTGCACTCCATGCCTCGGTAGAAGCAGGACAGCAGCATGTCCTTGATGTCGTGGCCTGTTCGGTCGTAGAATTCGCGCATGTTGAAGGGGCGGGGCTTATAGTTGTCAAAGTCAGCCCTCTCCTTCAGGACCTGCAGGACATTTTCCTCCACCAGGTGTGGGTCCCGGATCTCATACCTGGACAAGAAGGTTCTGGGTTTACTTATGTGAACATGAGGAAGCACATTCACAAATACGCGTGCACTAATAAACTACCTTTGTCTGATCTCTTAATTCACTTTATTTTGTCATAAACGCAACATAACAGCACAAAATCTGTAATTGTAATTACTTGTCCATGTTTTGTTTTGTATTACTGCACCTTTTCTGTGTCTCCGAGAAACCCATCTCAAAATATAATCTCAAAATCACACACAAACTCCTCTAATCTTTTTATGTCTTCTCTTGTTGTGTGAATCACAAGAAAATGTATTTTTTGGAAAGGACTTACTTCCAAATGAATACATAGATATGAATAGCAAAAAACAGAGCAGACATCAAAAAAGCGAAAAGAATTTTCACAGATTGCAATTCTCAACAGTCCATTTTATCCAAACAAAATGATCTTCAAACACGAAATGTTAAGCTACCTATCAGTGAAAAAACAAAGATATGATAGCAAGGAATTCCCACAGAAAGCAGAGCAAGACACAACCGTAGTTGTACCTCAATGAGTTTGGGAGGCAGACAAGCATTTCTGGCAGGACAATAGGGATTAACATGTAAAAAAATTAACAGAGAAGCAGCAAAAAGAGCACAATCGCCTTCGAACTGAACCAAAGGTACATATGTGCATGCCAGCTCTTCCAGACCCGCAGCATGCTCTCACAATATTAAACACATGCTGTCCACAACCCAGCGGCCTAGCTGTGGCACGCCAGCCACCACGGGTGGTGCTGAGTGGCGGCAAAATAGCTTGTTATTTAAAGGAATGGGAGTATTTCTTTTCATGCAATCACGTTAATCAATCTGCCAAATAATTAGGATTAACTGTGATGGCAGACCGTTTTCATATCGTAAGCATAACAATCGTCATATTGCTGTAATTCAGGCTGAGGATGCTGCACACTCTGGGAAAGATACATAGATTATTTAAAGTTTAAATCAAAGCCAAACACTTCACCTAACATCTGCTGCATTTTATTCAAGTGCAGAATGTAATAAGGTGCATCATGTAGAGAAGCATACACACTGACTTTCTCTTCTTCTCCATTTCCTCCATCACACAAACACATAAAACACATGACAAATTCTGATTCATTTGTGTGTATCAACACACACCAAACGGAAACTCAAGTGCAATGGCCGTACTCGCAGAAAGACAACAATGGGGAAGGCATTTATGACAAGCCTCTGCTTGACAACCACCATCAACCTCCAGCACCTGCTCACAGTCATTCGCAGATACAAATTAACCTCAATTAACTAATGTGGCCCTGCTCCGAGAAAAAACGACCCATTGATGACCGCCGCTGCGTGATGGGCCATCAGTGGTACAAGCATCCAAATTATGGAGTGCTAAGATTAAGCATTACTGACAGACACTTGTGAGAATAATTTGTTAGAACACACAGTGTCTATCAGAGTGAACAGCACAATAAAATAATGCAAAATTGTTTTTTGAATTAAGCAGTAAGGTAAGTCATTCCTTCTGTTTCTTCCCAATTAAAGTACGCCAAAGAAGAAAAGTCCAGTTTTTGATAGTGCGTCCTGAATTTGTGTTTAATGTAAGAGAGCAGCAGCCATGTATTGTGTTATTGTAATAATTTTGGACAGCTCAATTTACATTTGCAAACATGAATAAGTCTGTCCCAGGCTGGAGAGACCAAAATTAGAATTGAAAAGCATGAGAGACAGCGGGAAACAAAGGCGTACCCGTCTCCTCTGACAATAAATCTGTGAATGACTTTGTGGATGCTGACAGCAGAGTTATTTCTCATGGATATGGGCACTATTTCAAACCACAATTGGTGGTAAATCTTTATGGATTTTTTTTCTTTTAATTCCACAAGGTCAAGCTTTGTCAGTGTTCATGAACAAGATTTTGTCCCTTGATGATGGGAACAATGTAATTTGATCCATGAATAAAAAATGAAATATTACATTATTTCTTTGTGAGCACTGCCTTAATATTCAACTGGCGATAAAGTTTTTAACTCCTGTTCCAACCAAATTACAAGAAATGTAATATGTTCCACTGCAGCTACAGTGTTGTTTACCTGCTACAAACAGAACGAAATAAAATATTCACCGTGAGAGACAGTATGTGCTGTAATTTGAAATGAAGATTTGTTTCTCTCCCCGGCACTCATACCACTGAAGTGAGATGGGAATCTGTCATGCTTCATGTTGAACAGAGTTAACAGTGCTGTGATGAAAAAGATCGGGACTATTGTTCTGACCAAGCGTTGAATTGAAGACCACACAGTATTATCATCAAATTCAATATCAAAGACTAGGTGTTATAGCTATCATATCTATCTGCTATTTCACCAGTTATTTAAAGTCACAATCACAGATAATAAACAGTAACATCAGTGAGTAAAATATCAGCATTGCCAGCCCTTAAAATCAACCCTGTCGGATTATTTTTGTTTTGGTTTGCACATTCAATAGGAGTAACAGCTGTCATATTTTTATTTATCTTTTTAAAAAAGGGAATGTAAGAAGAATTAGTATAAGCAGTAGAAACTATACACCATAACAGACTAAAGAGAAAACAGTGCAGATGACCACTATACTCACAGATTAATGATGAACCCAAGAAAGGCCATTCATTAGCTGCTACGTTGTCCTTAATACATCTGGCTGTTGTTGAAACTATATTAAGGCAAATTAAGGTCATGTAAGGTTAATGAGTAACTGCAGCTGTGTGTTAATGTGTGAACAGATCATGGACTGTAAATGTGTGACCTGGCTGGCTTTAGTGTATTAATTACATCGTCCTTTAAAGAAGTACATTGACAAGCGAGATGTGTGGGCTTAAGGAAGAGTGACAGCAGCTCTGAACACAGTTCAACCAGATCTGCCATTCACACGAGCACAGACCAACCTTTATCACAAATTGCCTTCATCTTTTGGGAACACACAAATCATTATTTCATTGACTGAGTTTTTAGTTTAAATTATTGCCCAAGTGGCATGAAAGTGCTTTAAAATAATTACATTATGCAGCAAACCACGCTGTATGTCAGAGAGAAATATTAGATTTTCCAATTAATCACGATTTCTATTTGACTGATATAGCAATTCTTAAAATCTCAACACCGATCTTGCATTTGTGTCTTTTCTCAGTAAACATGTGCATGTGTGCTAAATGTCATGTATAGAGTGTTTACTTGTTTTAAGTGGCTCAGTTGGTGTGCGAGTGTGTAAAACATCTTCTTTGTGGAAAGTGAGTTAATATAATGTGCAAAAAAAAAGTTTTGAGTCATGAATAGTTTCAGTCTATGTGGACCCGCCACAGACATCTTGTCAACACAAACAGTGCCGATAAATTAGTGAGCAAACATTCAGTTTCTTCCCTGTCTGTGCGCAACATGATAATTAAAAGTGGATGCCTGTACTTCGATGAGGTATCTGCTGACAGTCGATGTGTAGCTTTACTGGGATTTTTTTTTTTTTTTTTTTTAAATATGCATAATGATGCTCCCTTGTAAGTGGGTTTTCATTATTCTTGCTCTACTGTTTTGCACATGTAGACCTAAGAGAAATAAATCAATAAATAAAAAATGATATATATATATATATATGTGTTGGCTGTGTGTCGTGTGTTGTGTGTTGTGTCTGTGATGGTGTGTGCCTTGCTTTAGTTGTTTTGTATTTGCCAAAGAAAAATACATCCGTGGTCCAGAGTTTTACAACCAGGATTATGTGTTTATAATTTAGCCTATAATATGCACTTTAAACAATCTTATATTCAAGGAAACAACTGCTCACTTGTTGAATATAGAAAAAATTTAAGTTCCCAAGAAAAATTCTGAGAAGTACTTGGTATTAATCTGATCAGTATTTATCTGATGTAACTGAATTGAATGGAATCAAAATGAATCGATTTTGGACTTTCTGAAACGATCAAATCAAATCACCGACAGAGCAGGGAGAGGAAAGGGTGGGAGGAGTGAAGTGGTTTGCTTTCGAGTCTCATGCTAGCGCTAGATTGGTTTCCAGAACTTGCACTCGTAGCAGAACAGAACTTGGCTTTAAACACAACTGATATACCATTTGCAATTGACAGGAATTCTAACGACTGGAAAAAGCTAGTCTGAAGCCCTGAAAATGACAGGTTAAATTGCACAGGCCAGTGAAATCACAGCTCAAAATTACTTCAGTACCCTCGCCCACACAGGGACTACATCACAACACTGTCATGTTTTATTCTAATAAGAGAATACAGCCTGTTGTGGTACATTCTGAACTTAATTGAATTTTATCCTGAGCCTGTGTCTTATAAGCAACACAAAGCTGCCAGGAGAGCACTTAAGACGCTGTGCTCAGATCCCCGAGTCAGGAGGCTTTAGTTGAAGCGCATACAATCACAATAATATGGGTAGATTTTTAATATTGCCCTGCCACTGCTCCCTAAAGCAATCACAGCAAACTCGCTACATAGGGGTGGGGGGAGACTAAATTGGATTATGGGCCACAAGCACTTTAATTTTCTTGCGGGGACTAAAACGAATGAAGGAGCATCTGCATCACTTCGTCACCTCGTGAGAGGAGCAAGTAAATACCAGTAACCTCTGATTTTCAGAGTGAACTTTGACAGTGAGACTGTGGTCACAAAACTGTTCCGTCTGAGGACTTCACATATTCAGTTATATGAAAAAATAGGAATAAAAAAATCTTACTCCACAGCAGCTCATACTCCCGTTGTATTAAGATGGTGTTAGTACCTCAGGCTGTGTGACACAACAATGAACACATCTTAGTGTTTCCAACAGAATTTGGGATTCGGGGGAAAAGGAGGTCTACAGTATTCAACATTAACAAGAACAGTAGCTTTCTTCCATTGTGCTCCACTGCAAGTATTTTACTACTTTGTGGCAAATAAATTACTGAACAATATATGCGGCTCCACTGCTTCACATTGTGTCAAACGAAAAGCAAAATGTGATTGGATACTGAGCCCAGTCGTGCCAAATGCATACTGCATGCTCTTATGGGCACATGGGCATGCAGAGAGGGCCGGTAAACTCAGGGATTTCTCCCAGAGCTCCCAATGGCTGGATTTGTTGTCAATGTATTTAGGAAAGTGAGAGAGAGAGAGAGAGAGAGAGAGAGAGAGAGAGAGAGAGAGAAAGTGAGGGGCAAGGAGGGGATGAGCGAATCAATGTGCCGCACACAGCTCTACAATTAAATAAGATTTTACCCATTTGAAAAAATAAAATAGAAAATCGATATGTGGCGGTCAATGTTGTTACTGTGTATGGGAAACACTGCATCTTGATATAATATCAGGTAATTATCCAATTAGCTCTAATTGAACTCACACACCAGAGAGGACAGGATTGTTTTTTTGTGCAGTGTCCTTGAAAATGAATGAGTGGAATGATTTTCCTGGTAGCAGAGTTTTGACAATCACATCTTAATGATGGTGCACCTGTGGCACACACTTATTATGCCATTTTGGTCAAGATCATAGAATTGCAAACAAGGGCGACCGAGAGGCGAAGCAAACACATGTCATACTGATTAGCAATCACATAAACAAACAATGGAAGCAAAATACAGTAATCATATTTGGTCTGTTAGAAAAAGTTAACCAATACTAAAATGCCTACTTATGTCTCTCCAGTAGTAATCTTATCTTTGGTAAACAATCACTATATAAACAATATAAATTCAAATCTACCCACATTTGAGAAATAAGCTTTATAAGCAACTCTCTGATTTTGTGTTTCCTGCATAATGATCTGGCCTCTCCGTGTCCTTCCATAAGCACTTTTTTACACCACTCAAATCCTGATTAGGACCTGTGATCTTGCTGAGACAGATAATACCGTCAGAGTTATCGAGCATTACATTTTGTGGCACTTCACATACACACTGCGTATGTGACTTTGGAGCATGTTTGCAAGCTCAGGAGACATGTTAAAGCTTGAGAACTGTGTAAGCAGAAGACTCGCTACTCTGACTTTCATGAGCTGATTCAGCATTTTTGGCAGCATACACTATATTACCAACACCTATTCCAAAATGACCTTTCTTTTGTTAATTATCATATAATTGCCTCTGCGACATAATAAAAATAAAATTGAGCAATTTACTTGTAATGTTCTGCACTGCTGCACTGCACTGATTGTTTTTTGGGGGATTTTTTTGTGCAGAAACTTCTGGATTGGGGTAAGTTCAGGGGAAGTTATTTGTAGCTCAGCAATGAATTTCACAGCATCAAAGAGGAAGCAGTGATACCACTGCTTCCTCCTGACAATGATTTACACAAACTCACAGCAACATAACACTTTGTTTTTCGTCTGCCCTTTTCTAACAAAACGAACAGCATGTCACTTGATATCCTGAAGTTTACCAATGAAATGTTTTTCCTCCAGTCAATGTTTTATCTAAAAGCAGCGTCTACAGGAAACCCTGAGAACTTTTTTATCTACAAGTTAGACTCACGTTGCTCCAGAGACTGACCTGCTAACAAAGTCTTGTCATATTTTAAGAAAATAACACATACTGCACCAGTCTCTGAGAAAGTAAGCGGACACTTCCTCCAAGGCAAAACTGAACAGAGGAGAGGCAAGAAACAGTGTGAGAGATGAGAGAGTGTTAATCAGCGAGACAACTCTGTAGCTTAACAAACAGCACTAATTACACAGGGATAAAGACTTGTTCATCATACAGCTTACGAGACACAAGTTAATTGCCTCTGCATGTACTCCCCTCCCTCCATCAAAAGTCAGCTTGTTCCAATGTCACTTGGAGCAAGTGCCACTGCTTTCATTTTCCTGTTTCCTCTCTCTTTCCTCATTCTGTGCTGTTTGCCCTCATGTTTTTCACATCTCACTTCTTCCAGGAAATCTGGCTGAAACCTGTTCTAATATATCAAAAGACATGGCAGCCTTGTGTTGATATTTTAATGGTCTGCCATTACAGCTGACAGTACAAACACAGAGAAACAAATCCATGTAGGATGTAGACACTCTGGTTGAAATCTACACCATACATAGGACTAGAACTGCAGCCCCGAGCAATGGAACATATTGCTTTCCTGTAAGGTTATCACCTGTAATATGGATGTATAGAGGTCACGAAGCAACGATATTCAGTATGAAAACGGGGAATTGAATTTATGTCATCCTAGCATGTACCGCTCTCCGACTGTGCCTTAGGCTGCAGAGCTTTGTGGATCAATATACTAAAAATACCCTGAGTAATGTGTTCAAAACTATGTGTTTGTATTAGATCTTTTATTTTTGCATAAGAGCAGTGTGTGTGTGAGTATGTGTGTGTGTGTGTGTGTGTGTGTGTGTGTGTGTGTGTGTGAATTTTATTGCTTTAGCTGTGAATACAGAGTGGAGGACGGTCATCTGTATTGTGCTGCTAAACGTGATCAGAATACACTGTGTGGCACAAAAAAGAAAAAGTGAAGAAATTTAAAGTCAAAAGTTTCAACATCAACGGTGAGCTTGTCATGGCTGCCAAAAGACTAAATGATCAAAGCACAGCAGAAAACAATGAGTGTAAAGGGAGGGGATGGCAGCTGTGAATCACACACACACGTCTCCACACTTTGTCAGCAGGGGATTTAAAAATCTACTCCTCTACTTATCCAATATTGAGATATTCATATCACATGAACTGTAAAATGATGAGGCAAGGAATTGCACTGGCGGCATTTTCTCCTTCATCATTTTACATTAACCACTTAGAAATAGCTCATCCATCATCTGTTACCTGGGGGATTCAAATGATCTGCGATAAGATGTGTTCTTTATCATTAATTTTTCTTTTTAAATCAAAAACTGTATCAACATATTGCAACAGATTACTGTTAGGGGTATATTTCGTATTGTTGAGTAGGGTTTCATACATACATCAGCTTATGTGCAGTTTGCATTTCAGATGACACGATCAGTAATGTCACTACATTACTAAATAACCAATTTTAATGTCGCTTTCCCCGCTTTCAGAAAACACCCTTTCATCTGTATCTTTTTTTCCTCAATTACCTCTGGCTAAGGTCAGTCCAAGTTCACATTCACAGAGACCCTTAAAAGACTTTGCATGTTTTGTCCATGTTGTTTTAACATCTCCCAGCGGCTACAGCAATAAACAGTGAGAGAGGTGTCAAAACAACAGTGCTTTGCACCTCCATGTGACATACAAGATTTCACGATTTAGACATTAAAGTAAATCTAAGTTTTCATGTCCACTAGGCTAAAACCAAAATTTTAATTTCATGTAACTTCACACATTCAGATTTAAACTACTGAGCCTTACAAATAAAGCATCGCCACTGCTTCCCTTTATAAAATATCTAACGAAGGAGTTTCAGTCTTTCAGTGTCAGTGGTTTCAGGGATTTAGTGATTTAATGGTCCTCAATTAATTCTATTGGAGTAAGTCGAGTTCAGTTACATGATAACTGCAGTAGAATGTACCCAAATTAAAAATGTACTGTTGTTTCAGCATGTTTCAGTCTTATCACTGTTATCTCATATTGTGCACTGGACACAGTCAGATCCTCAATCAACAATTGCTAAATCTTCACAGACGGGTTTCCCTCAGCAGCTAGTGCATCTGTTTGGGATTCTGTGTGCTGAATACTGGTTTGTTTTATCCTACATAGAAGAAACTGCCCACTATAGGTGGGGTGTGTTACTGAATGACAGGAAATCAAAGATCAGGAGATATCTGCCATAAAAGTACTTTTTCATTGGCTGACTTGCCTCTGACATCATGCATACCAACAGGTAGACTCTGTTGTATGCTATGCTACAGGCAGCCCTGAAACGCACAGGTGAAATACATAGGAGGCGCACACACACACACACGCACACACACACACACACACACACACACACACACACATACACACACCTGCCGTTGAGCAAGGCAAGGAGCTCCCCAGCGTGGTACAGGTCGTTGCGGGTCACCCGGCTGAAGCGGAAGGAGTTGAGGTTGCAGAAGGTGACCGAAGGGAACACCATCATCGGAGCCGCCACCTCGTCCAGTTTGGTGACATGGGGGTACTGGAAGTACAACTGCACCCGGTCCACGCACACCATCACCAGCACACCTACGGAGCCCAGAAAGAACAAAATCCACAGGCTGCGCTTGATACACATCCGCTCATAAGTGAACATGTGCGAGATGCCATGCAGCGTGGACCTGCTGGCAAAAACTTCAATAGGAGCCGGTCTCTTGTAGTCCATATCCTCCGAGTCCGCTTTGAGATCCATTATGTCCCCGGGATGAGTTTAGATGAATCAATGTCGCAAAAAGAGCAAACAGCCTTTAAAGATAAGTAGATGCTTTATTAATGGGAAGGAGGTTAGTGTCTGCAAGTTCACGCCCTTCTACGCATGTATTTCTCATGCAGTCTGTGTGAGATGTTGCGTCACTGAGAGACAGCCCGACATTCAGAGCATTTTACCCAGGATATCCTCAAAATACCCTGTGCTTACGTGAAAACACTTGGAAAAAGTATAGGTATGGAAAGCATGTGTTGTTCCTCGGCTGGGGTCACAGTTTCATAATAAACAGCCCGGTGTGGAGCGCGCATGGACAGATGCCAACGCTGTCCTCTCCTCCTCGCACACTTCTGTAATATTACCGAGTTGATATTTGGCTTCCACGCTCTTAAGAAAAAGCAGAAACACTGGGCAGGTCAGGAGAAAAACACAGATCACGGTTGAGAAGGTAGAAAACAAACAGACAAATCACCTCGGCGAGGAAAACAAGGGAATCTGATGAAGAAAAAAAAAACAAAGCGGTGGTTTATTCTCTGTGTATGTGTATGTGTGTGTGTGTGTGTGTATATATATATATATAAATATATGTGTGTGTGTGTGTGTATGTGTGTGTGTGTGTGTGTGTGTGTAAGGCAGAGAGTAGACTGGCTACATGGCTTTCCCCGCTCTTCATAGGCAATCCAAACACGTGCAGAAAAACAAATACCCGATGATTTCTCGCCTGTTAGCGTTTTAAAAGCAGTCGTCCGGATGTCCTGTGTTTTCCACAGCCAGGATAAACAGCTGCATCACAGAGGAGCTGCTTCTGTCAGATAGCTGCCTCGGTGCGCCTCTCCTCGCTTGCTTGCATCCATTCCCTCCTCCGAGCTGCCTCCACAACAATGCAGGGATAATTACTCCGGTTTTATTTGGATTCCCACTCGCTTATCCTTGAATAACAAATTCTGGAGAAAAAAAATGTTGACCTGGGCAAAAAAAAAAAAATACAAATCCCGCCCGAGATGCTTAGCGCTATGAATTCAAGGAAAGCCACCTCAGAGGCGGTCGCGGTGTGCCCGGATCAATTAAATTCGCCCCAAACAGGAGAGAGCAAGGATAGGACGGCATGTGTTTTACACCGGGTGACGAAGTCCAACGTCGGTGTCATTCCAGCAAAGCCTATATTTTACCCAGAAGCGAGCTATTGTACTACTGAGCATACAATTTAAATGATGACGATATGCTATGACTCAAGAATTAGTCATTACCTTAACCGCTGGCAGTTTACACACTCCTGTGTTTCTCTGAGTCCTCTTGAGCTAGCCGAGATGACAAGCTAGCTAGCATCAAGTTTTACTTTCCACATGTGAAAGTTACTGTTTTTATTTAATAAAGTAAACTGACACAACGTGACATTGTTATTTACAAGAGACGTACAATAGGTTATTTTACAGGTTTTTTCAAGTTAAATTGGCCCCGGTACTAGGAGAATGTCAAATGTTTAAACGTAGTGTTAACGTCAGGTGTGTAGCTATTGTACGGAAGCCGTTGAGGGCAAGACAAAATAACATTTCGGGAAAAAAATAAAATAAAACAGCAGCATTGCTGCTTGTGGGAAATTTACCAAGAAAATCTTAGCCTAGCTTAGATAATGAATTCAATGTAGCATCAAGCTTTGCATTCTACTGATGAAACCTAGGCTAATATTTCATTTTATGAAGCAGAATAATGAGAAAAATGTTATGTACAAGAGACAAAGTTAGCTTGGCAAAGGGAAAGCCAACTGAATTCAAATTGAGGTAATGGATAGCTTTAGAGATTTAGATGCAACAAATGCAGCAACAAAACCACAAACATAATGTCTCACTAAAGACATCAGACTTACTGCTCACAAGAGATTTGGCTAAAACTATAATTTTGTAGCTAAAATAAGATTCACAAACATATTTTGCATTTTACAAGTCATTTTAACATGTTTTTGCACTTATAAACATCTCCTAAATTCAGTCAGTTAGGCCTACTTGTTATATAATGTTGGCAAAAATGGATACATTTTGCATGACTTCTCAAATTGCTTGTGTTCATTTGTGCTATGTCCTTACAGCATGATGAACACATTTTTTCATGGACATCTTTTTTTTAATCTTGAGTAATCAGAAATGTTCCCCAGGTTAAAAGGAGATTTACATCTTTTAGTATTCAGTTGACAAAGATGTTTAACACATGACTCACCACACTTGCATTTAGCATGCTGGCTTTTTATTTTATTATTTTATCTATTTTGAGACATTTCTCAAAGTAAGATACTTATCCTTCAGACCAATGCGTGTTAAAAGTAACCTACAAGGAAAAGATATGTAACACATTACTTTAGCATTAGATATGTACTGTAAATACAAATGCGATCAGACATAATTGTACATAAACACACATGTGCTGATTGCAGAAATACAATACTGTATGTTTGTGGGTGGAGGTGCACAGTTACTTTGTAAAATGCAGTTTTAGATAACATAAACATATACACATACACATATGCATACTTATACACGGAAAATTGCACACATATAGTACCTGCACATATGTTGTAGACATTAGCACATATTGTATTACACTTAAACATGAGCATTAATGCATGTTTTACTGAATACATGCATGTACGCATACACACAGTTCACAGCTCACGCAAATCTCTGAACAAATCTATTTTCTCCCCTGACCAATTCTATGTAGTTGACTGAATGGAACATCCAAATATGTCAGAGTGAGTGAGTGAGCTAAACACAGGCAATAAGGCAGATGTGTCGCAAGACTGCCAGTGCCAAATCTGTCATAGAAACCGTATTGCCAGGAGGCAAGGGTAGCTCACCCATGAAATTGTTCATAATGCGTCCATAATTGCCATTTGCCATAGTATTGACTGTGACAATGTGGTAGTCATCTATAAAGCCTGCATCTTATATTGATGAGCAGTGCTTGGAAGATGAGCCATGCTCTGATCCAGTGAGGTGATGTGAATTCTGGGTAGACACTGTACAGCAGTGACACACATGGGTTTGATATCACAGTACATATTAAATTACTGAGGTGCATTTTGATAGCAGGTGCTCGGCTGTACAGTTACCCAAATTTAGCTTTTATGATGGTTGTCGGTGCCACAGTGATGCCAGAGTAGCTTACTGAAAGGATACTTGAGTCCACTTACATTATTCTGAAGACTATGATAACAGAATGCCCCTCACAGATATCTGGATGAATAGGCCTTTCTGACAGTCGTTTTTCGGTGCTGCCTTCTTTGCAGGCTGCTCTGTCGTTCAGCTCTGCCTAGACTTTCCTGCTGTCCAGCCCTGCTCATGAATATATTTCCACCCTCTGACACTATGAAAGTGGGTCTTTACTTTACAAAAGACATTTTCAAAGCTTTCAACAGAAGTTGAAAAGAATGTTAGATTTATTGGCAGCACTTCTGGTGCTCCCTGAAAGAAGGATGACTTGATTATACTAACAGATTATCAAGTAAGAGATAGTGTAAAAATGAAACCACTGTTCATGCTCAATTACTCTGAACAGTAGTTATCTTTGTGCTCCAGTAAGAGTAGTGAACAGTAAGAGCTCTGCATTCAGAAATTGAAGTGCAACTTCAACTTGCCACCACTTCCAAATTGGTTGTATAGGTTGAAATTGTGTATGTTTTTTTTAAATAGACAATAATAGACGTCACAAAATCTCTGGAACAAAATGCATTAATGACAGCTAGCCCTTTTTGTATGCTTCCACATAGACATATGAATATAAACAGTAAGAAGTTCTGACTAGTTCCCACTTTCCTCCTCCATTTCTTCAGCTATAAACAATGATGTCAACAGCCTTGTGACTGGCCAGTTCTTGAAAAGTACACATGCTGATGAATTCATCACCTCTCTGAAGAAGTATGAGAGAAAGCCATACAAGAGTGAATACTTTGAAGACTGCCACAAGGCCCCAGTGTAGGAGCTTTTGCAATTGTCAATTTTCTAAAACTGCTATGATTGTCCCTTAGCAGCCATAACTGAGCACATTTCCTTCACACTTCCAAAACAAAAATATCCAAAAGCAAAAGTTCAAGGAATGGATTAATCAGTGTGTGTATACATAAGTTAAGCACATCCACTATGTGGCAGCCAATATGCTGATATGAGTTAAGGGCAACTGTAGCAGCTCTGTCCTACTCTTTAGTGGATTTGGGGAAGTTTACGTTAACCGAGATAGCATTACATTTTTACATTTTCTCTTGTAAAAGGGAGACATTGTTTGAAAATAAAAAATATAAAATATAAACATAAATGTAATCTATTTGTTGCTGCTCTGCTATTCTGTTATGGTTTCAGTGCCCTCACCACCTCCTCGTGTTACTTCCCCATCAGTTTCTCAGAGTTAGTGCTAGCTTAATTGGTTAGCTATCTACAGCTAATAAAATCTGCTAGTGACAGTATTCAATTCAGCCAACACAATCAACAGTCACTGCAGGTAGAAATGAGAAGCCTTTTTTTCCCGCTCAAAACCTATTGAAATTAAAGAAATTTTAAAGAAAATGAGTACAAGTACTGAGTTGTAAATCTGCCACATGTGCAGTGCTAAGCTTTACAGATCTAGCAACAATACCTAAGCTTTCATAGACATGTTTTCCCCCATTCATTATAACCTAACCCAATATAAAAACAACACACAACAATGCACCATGTGTCTAAATTCAACACTGATTGGTCTGTATGCGTGTCAATGAATTGTTGCTAGCCTATGAGTCATAGGTAAGAGTCATAAGCTGTGTCTCAATTCAGGGACAGCATCTGTCAGAAGACGTGGTCCATGACAGTGTGGCTTTAGTAGCTGTTGTAGACCGCGAAGGCCAAACCAAAATGAGGGGTTCTGGCCAACGGAGGATTTTCGGTTTGCATCAACAACTGTGCCTGCCTTTACCATCGTGTCAAATGCAGCCTCTGAAGGATGCGGCCCCTGAATTGGGACACAGCTATAGATGCTATAGATATATAAAAAGCTGGTGACAAGCTTGCTAACAGTTAGCTGACATGCTCAGGAGACAGCTGGTCTTTGCTAAAAAGCTCTAGGAGGCTTAGTCCTTCCTTCGTAAGGTACCCAGCATTGAAATGCTGCATTGGGTAGGTTTTTTCAGAAGGTATCCTTAGCGCTGACATAATTGTCCTCCATCCCTGCGTGAAAGTGTCGTACACTTAACAGTCCCAGTTTGGGACTACATATTAGCTAACAGTTGAATAACGCCAATTGTTTCAATACTAATCTGCATGTTTTTAGGATTATTGCATACTGTTTATTATATATGTGTATGTATATATATATATATATATATATACACAGTATATAGTATGGTAGTTCTACTATGTGGTACTTTTCATGGAAAACTGGTTCATGTTGGCACATGGGAAACAAGAGGTTTGTCTACATA